ACACTTCTCGCCTGTATTCGACCAAAAGTCCACAAAATACGTGGAGATCTACAAGCTGTCTCTTATAATCATCATACACATTCTATTCTCTTTGTTGCAAGTGAACAAATTTCATTTCTTAATCTCAAACTACGGTCAGTCCTCCCTCCCCTCCCCTCTCTTCTCCTCTTCTCTCCTCCATCTCATTCTCTTCCCTTCTCTTCAGACCATATCTTCATGCTGATGTTGTTGTTTCACATTATGAACCCATTCTCGGCCTGCTCTTCATCAAAGAGTTCAAACAAGTGGTTTCATGTACTGAAAATGGAGTTGTTCGCTTGTGGGATCTTCTCACTGGAAGAAAAGTTCACGAATTTCAAGCTCATCAAGGTCAAGCTATCACTTGTATGACATTAGACACAACTGAACGACGATTAGTCACCGGAAGTCGAGATGGATCATGTGCCATCTGGAATGTTCATAATGGCCAACTTCTCAAAATATTCAAAAGACCTCATGGTCTCTGCTCTTCATCTCCATTCCTTCCACATTCTTCTTCTTCTTCTTCTTCTTTAGATGCACTCGAAGTCACGGCTGTTGCCTTTGTGGTGGTCAACAACAACTGTTCGATCTTGGCTGTTGGATGGGACAAACATGTGAATGTTTTCAACGATGATCGAGAACAGATCAAACAGATTTGTTATCCCGATGATGAGTTTTGCAAAGGCGATGATGTTCATCATGGTCATTTTCATGATATTCTATGTATTGATAAATCACAAGGCGATCTGATTGCTACGGGTGATTATGGTGGAATAATTATTGTGTCGAATCTATCAAGCAAGAAGATATTTGTCACTCTCAAAGATAATCAACATCGAAATGAAGATGGAGGTGAGAGAGAGAGAAGAGGGAAGAGAGGAGAGGAGAGGAGAGGGGAAGAGAAGAGATGTTTGTGTTGTAGACAATCCAAATGATCGAGTTGTGAATCGTGTGATATTTATTGATTCGAGATTCGGTCGACACGATGCAGCGAATTTGATCAGTAGTGGTCCATTTGGTGAAATTCATTTTTGGAATATCTATAAGAATGGAGTTCTCCTGGGCAAATTTCGACCAGTGAGTGAAGATCTTTCTTGATTTACTCATTAAAATGAACGTCGTTGTTTGTAGAATAGAGAAAGAAAGAGTACAGTAACACAAATCAAACTCGATTCCATGTGTCGATTATTGTTTGTTGCCGATTCATTAGGTAGTTCACCAAGTCATCTTTGAAATAGTTTATTTGATCAGTTGTTGATGTGTAGGTTTTCTGTTTATTTATGAAATAGAAAGATATGCACTTCATCCCGAGTCCACTCCACCTCGTTGTAAGTTCGACATTTCTCATGAACATGGACGAGAATCATTCATCTTTGTTTTGAGGTATGAGAAGTTGGCGAGGTCATGTGGATAGTGTCACTGGTCTTGAGTATATCGAACAAGGTAAATACACTCACACACACATACGTATGTGATATAACAAACTCGNTTTCTGTTTATTTATGAAATAGAAAGATATGCACTTCATCCCGAGTCCACTCCACCTCGTTGTAAGTTCGACATTTCTCATGAACATGGACGAGAATCATTCATCTTTGTTTTGAGGTATGAGAAGTTGGCGAGGTCATGTGGATAGTGTCACTGGTCTTGAGTATATCGAACAAGGTAAATACACTCACACACACATACGTATGTGATATAACAAACTCGTCATTGATGTTTTGGTTTAGCTCAAGTGATCATCACTTCTTCACTTGATTGGACCATTCGATTGTGGAATTTGCATGGCTTCTTCATTGGTAACTCACTCTCTTTCTTTCTCTCTCTACTGTAATAATCGATGTGAACAGGTACATTTGGTCAATCGATTCCATGGAATTTGTATGATCCTGCCACATATCAACATCCGTCAGTTCCACTCGATGTTCTCACTGATCCAAAAAGTCTACCGAAAAAGACACTTCCGACCGATGGCGAAGAAGAAGAGAAGGAGGAGGAGGAGAAGAAAAAGACAACAGCAGTGACATCGGTAAGAACGAAACAGAATTGTTGAGAAGAGATGAATATCGAAGAATGACTTAGACAACAACTAACACGTATAAAAATATGCTGATTGATGATGAGACAATGGCGAATAATGTTCGTGAAACACTGAACAAAGTGCGTGAAGTTCAATCAGCTGGTTTAGCTGGTAAAAGGTGAGTTGACGTTTGTTGATTTGAGTTTCGAAACGATGAGAAGATTTGATTGATGAATAGACTTCGATATTTTCATGATAAACCGAACGTTTCATTTCGTCGTGATGGTTCGAGTCATTATCAACATTTGCGTTGTTATACGATTGATGACAATCCACCAACAATGTCAACGTCAACGAACGACAACACGATGTATTTGGCTAACTCAGTCGAATCATAAGAAAACGCAGACAATTTTCTTCCGATAAACTAAATGCAGATAATATAAATAAAATACTTATGATTTCTTTAAAAAACTTCACAAAAGCATCGAAATGGTAATAGCCTTATTTCTCCAACAAATCAGACATCTTACCTTTCTATTTTTTTTCACCCAAATTGTTATAATAATCAAATAAACTTTTAATTTCTACTATCTCTTAAGTATTGTGACTGTCAATTCATAAACGAACAAACGTTTCTTCTCAGCACAATTGATCGACAACCAAACAATTGAGATGCAATTCTTAGTTGTTTCATGAAAGTTTATTATTTTAATTGTAATTGAATCGGCATACAAGATTTTTTTAAAACTTAGTTTTAGCTTCTTTCGAAACTAAATAACTGGGAGATCTCATTTCACATAGCGAAGAAACCGTGCACAAAAATTACAAAAAGCAAAATTCGCACACTCTCAACACTACATGGGACAGATAAAACGAATAAAATTGAAGTTTACTTAATAATACTGTGTGCATTTGATTCATTTTACTCAACGATACCACTTCGGGCAATGGCAATCTTAGCTTTTGTAGCTCCAGATTGTGAACCTAAACTTTCGAGTTTCTTGACAATATCCATACCATCAACAACTTCACCAAAGACAACCTTTTACAAGCGAAGGACAAGTTGAATAATAAGTCTATAAAATTCTTTCAAGGTGTCTTACATGTTTGCCATCAAGCCATGAGGTTACAACAGTAGTAATAAAAAATTGGGAACCATTTGTATTCGGACCGGCATTAGCCATTGATAAAAGTCCAGGCTTTGAGTGTTTAAGTTGAAAGTTTTCATCGGCAAATTTTTCACCGTAGATACTAAACAAAATCGGATGTTTTTCAATCGGCTTTCCATCGAAAATCGTTTACCTTCGACCACCAGTGCCATTACTATAAAAAGAGATATATAAGAACAGAAGTAGGTGATAGTTAAATGACTCACTGTTTAGTGAAATCACCGCCTTGAAGCATAAATTGTGGAATTACACGATGAAATGTACTTCCTTGGTAACCATAACCTTTTTCACCTGTGCACAATGCTCGAAAATTGGCTAAAATACTCGTATTATACATCAAAGTTCACAAGATTTATTGTGAAAGTACCTGCAGTTTTAGGTACAATTTCATCGAAAAGCTAAAACGAAGAAATAATCGTTGAAGATGAGAAGAAAATCGTGGGTTTTCGTTACTCTGAACGTAATGCGACCAATGGGATTGTTGTCAACGGTAATATCGAAGAAAACGTTTTTTCCAGTCATTGTTCAACTTTTTTGACCGAACAAAAATGTAAATCTAGAATATCAGATCTGTAGTGAAAAGCATCAGTTAACCAAAAGAGACAGAAGATTCATTGCACAATATGTATAAACGCATATCTATATAAGGAAGTAGACATATAAAGAGAAAATAGATACACTTAGCAATATCTGACAACAGACTAATTGATAAGAAAGAAGAAAAAGAAAGATTGAGATTATTTTGGGAGAATATTGACTCAAAAACAAGAAAAAGAAAAAGTTCGCCTTTCGACGAAGAAACTAGCACTGCAGAGAAGAATCTCTATTCGATGTTTAATTCATGTAGTAAATTCTTCGTCGATTGTTGCAAAGAACATGTTGGTAGATGAGATAACTACAAAAGAAAACTTCAATAGAAACCAAAATTTTCTATTTAATCAACTGTAACCTACCCGCATGAGGATCGGTAATCCATTCATATCTCGAATAATCGCTCTACATGTGGAATCTTTCGCTAAGCTTGTCAATGTTATCACAATCGATCCCATTAACGCATCAAATCGTTGATTATCTTCGGGGAGTTTTAATCGATCCCGTTCCAAATTCATTAATAATTCAATTAACTTCTGAACTGTATTTTGTTCACATAAGTTCGGGATTATTGATTGAGATAACGACAAATTTCGAATTAAACCGACTGTTGCTCTAATGGTTCCCCAATGTCCATTGTAATTCTTATCGCGAAACAATTTCACGATATTGCCGATTCCGTATGATTTTCGTACGATTTCACGCGCTTCATTTTCGAGATCGTGTCGAGCAGTGATATGACGGAGTGTACATAACTAAACAAATCAATTCTAATAAGTTAAGAAAACAACAAAAACCGCTTTTTCATACCGCTGCTTCGATAAGCTCGTCATTTCCATCGGAATTCATCATTAATTTCTGCATGACACTTTGCACTCCGTTTAATTTCACAAATAAACTTTTATTATTTTGATTATCTGCTGTTAAATTGCCAAGGATTTCCAAGGAATGAATAACTGATTGACGATCATCACTCGATAACATCGCAGTCAATTGTTGAATTAACGAATCAATATCACGCTAAAACATATAGAAGTTCTTCATTGGATCGGAAAATATTCCGATGCACTTACCATTTGCGTCGCTTGATTAGAAATATTTCTTAGTGTGATAAGACAGTTATGTCGTATTCGAATGCTCTTCGTCGTGCGTAGATGTTTTTCGATTATATTTAATCCATTCGATCGAAGAATCAAGCTCTTGTTCATTTCATTTCCTGACGATATGATTGGTAATAGTTTCGATAGTGTCAATAGTAATTTATCGTATTTATTTGTCTCGAAGATCCAAAGAAGACGTTGAATGCATTCTTCACTATTCTGTATGAATTGTTTCGATTTTGTGCTATAACTTGACATTTTCAGTAAACTGTCAGTGACTAAGGTCAACAATTTATCGTTTGTACTATCCAGTAGATGAATGAATTTGATAAGGCCTTCACAGCGATAAATTTCGTCAGCTGCTTGATGTTGGAGAACGATTAGAAAATTATGTAATGTTGTTATCGCGTAATTAACGATGTTATCAGCAGAGCTAAGCAAAGTTTTGAATAGAAAAACAGAAAATTCCGCGGTGAATTGTCTTACTCAAGAATTTGTAGTAAACGTGCGATGCCTCCGCAGTCATAAATGACACGTAGACCTTCTTGTTGTTGAGAGAGTGAGTGAAATAGATTGACTAATGCATGCGTGACCTTTCCATCGCCCATATCTTTTGAGAATGTCTCCAGTAAAGTGTTAATTAACTAAAAGAATTGGTCAGAGAATGAAGCGAGAACAATAAAGTGTTTTACCTCGCGATTTTGGATCACTTCCGATCGACTTTCATTTCCTTCTTTGACTAAGATGTGTGTGAGTAAGACAGCTTCGCGAACGATAACTGGATCGTCTTCCATCAATAGATTGAGTAATTCAGGAATGACTTGAGATGGTTCTGGTTTGGGTGGTGGTCCTGGTACTGATTGTAATTCAGTGTATTGTGGACGCGTATTTTCAATGTCATTAGGCAAACGGGGAGGCATTTGTTCGTACATTGCTGCTCCTGATCCGTGATGCTGGGAACTTGTGCCGGCCGAGTCTACACTACGTAGTGAGGCTGGTCGAGAATTAAAACCAGAATCACGTTGCGATGGGCATCCATTTGACATCGGATAGGAATCGTCGAGCCACATGGAAGTATGACTTTCTGAGCTGATAGGTTGTAATTGGTTTGATAGAAGAGGATGTGAAGGATGATGCATGTGAGGCTTCGATGAATGAGGAACTTGATGGTGCATTGGAGATGGATAGTCCATGATGATTAACTAGAGAAGTGAAACGGCGAATTATTCGTTATGCGATGTTCATTATATTTACCTAATCGTATTGAATATGTTCGTCAATGATGAACTCGAATGAGAAAGAGAACGCTAAGCAAACTGACACGGCGGCCGCGCTTTGTCCGTTTTTCAACGGATATTCAGTTTTCGTTGTCTTTTATCAACCAATAAAAACACATCTCTTTGGTTACTTGTTACTATCGAATATCCTCTGTTCGACTTTTCATCCAAAGATTATCTACACTCTGACATTCTGGTCATTTGCTCATATCCCAAGCGATACAACTGCCATCGATTCAGCATTTATTAATGAAAAAATCATTTAATTATTCGAATTTCTGACGCCATCTATCCATATTGAAATTTGTACAATCGATATGCACGATTGTACAAATGCCCCGAAGAAAATTCCAATTTACCCCACCTGCTTCTCTCTGCATAATCGCAAACAATTAATCGATTATTTCACAGTTCATTAAGCCGATTATTTGAAAAATGAATGTTTTTATTGTTTATATGAAAAGAGTGACGGTAGGAAAGAGGTTACGTTCAATCAATAGTTTACTTTTTACTAGAAAAAAAGCTAAACACAGTCACAGGATCAGAAAAACGAGATGCTTGATTGAAAAAGATGAGCATTTCTAATAACTACTGTTTAACTTTTTCGCTTGCTATTTCCCCGCAATCAGTAATTGTTATCTTCTTCTGAGTTTGACCTGATTGAGAACCTAATGCTTCGATTTTCTTCACTGTATCCAAACCATCGACAACTTCACCGAAAACAACCTAAATGAAAAGAAAATTCGCTATTTCTCGAATACTTGAACAAATTTCATACATGTTTGCCGTCGAGCCAAGGGGTGGAAACTGTTGTAATGAAGAATTGCGAACCTAGAAAAGCAAATGTTATGATCGATAGACAGAAGATTTGATCCCACCGTTGGTATTCTTGCCGGCATTAGCCATGGAAAGTAAACCTTCTTTTTCATGTTTGATTTGGAAACTAAAATCAAGTTTCACAATGGACTAAGTTATAACTACAGTTAGATTTTTTACTTTTCATCGGCGAATTTGTTACCATAGATACTGGAATGATAGAGATTATTTTAGAATCGTAAAATGACTTTTGACGTTAATTACCTGTATCCACCAGTACCATTACTTAAAATGCATAGAAAGAATGATTTGGAGAACTGAATTTTGGCGATTAATTTCACTTACTGTCGTTCAAAATCTCCGCCTTGTAACATAAATTTAGGAATTACTCGATGAAATGTAGAGTTTTTATAACCAAATCCTTTTTCACCAGTGCACAAAGCTCGGAAGTTCTCTAAACAAAATCCATTCTTCCATTTCGAACAATTTTTCTCTTGTCATACCTGCAGTCTTCGGAACAACATCATTATAAAGCTAATATTCATGAAAAGAAAAATCTTGAAAGGATAAACTTCATTATAAACTACTAACTTGAAATGTAATTCTTCCAAGTGGCTTATCTTCTACATTCACATCACTAAATTTGCAAATTCAATAATAAAATCCAAGAAACAAAGTCAATTACAAGAAACATTTTGATCGAGACACATCTTTTTTCGATGATCCGCTGAATATTCCAAACGTTCGTTGCAAACCACACGATTTCTACGATAATCAAAATCAAATTCTATATTCAACATGTGCATCCATTGATAGAAACCTGAACATTTGATGACAAAACATTTCGAAGAAGTGTACGTGAAATCATTCTTCCTTCAACTATCTTTTGTATAGAAAAATCTACAAATACAATGGAAGCACAAAAATTTTTATTCAATTATATCATTCGTCAAAATCATACGAAAAGAGATTAATCAAAGATTCATTACACACACAAACACGAAACAAAAAAGTGACATATTCAGATCTCAAGGAAGAAAAAAAGAAACTCAGGATAAGAAATGGATTGATTAAAAGAGAATATCTAATCTTCTGACATAAAGTAGATCGATATAATATGTATGTAAAGATATGTATATATGCACATCAATCAAAAATGAGAATTCTACAACTAAATTTCATGTTTCGTTTTCACAAATCAGTGTCGAACCAAGCAGCCATTTGAGGATTATTAGTATTATGAGGTGGAGGTGTTTGATGATGGTTTGACGAACGAGGCGAACCTTGCATCATATCTCGATCGCCGATGAGTACTTGATTATCCATTAAACTTCCCAGACCACTACCACCTGCGCCTTCAGATGCATAATAATTCATTGTTGGAACATCGTGAAGAGGTGGTGGAGTTCCTCGATAAGGGTTTGCGTATGTACCATTAGTCGAACCATTTCCCATGCTGTAGTGCTAGAAATGATTGGACAAATCAGATTTAATCTTTGAAGAAGATGATTCGTTTAAGACTTACGTTGTTGATCATATGTTCCTCACGATACAAAGCTGATGTGACATCTTGTGATAAACGCTTTTTCATATCATACGGTTTATCATCCGATAGACGAAATAGAATTGCTGCTGCGTATGTAGCTAGAGGAAAGCAAGTGTGTATGACCTTAAAAGAAAGAAGATTTTCGACTTACCAACACCTTCATCACTCGATTTGAGTAATTCAGTCAGTTTTTGTGTGCAGTTTTGCTTTTCAACAATGTCTGCACATAAACGATCATTCACGAGTTCACATAAAACACCTGCAGCAGCACGTTGAATTGCAATATTTGATGGTGGATAAAGAAGCTAAACACATATCAATAAATTCAACAAAAAAGGCGAAGAAAACCAAAATTTCCTACTCGAACAAATAATGGAATACAATCTAAATCACGTATGATTATTCGATTTTGTTGATCTTTTGCAATAATATGTAAGGCACTAACACACGCTTCGAGAATATCATCCATTCGAATATAATTATCAATCAATTCAACATTAGGCTGTTGTCGTTGTAATTCCTGGTGACTTCGAACGAGCAACTGCGCTAATTTCTGTATCGAACCCGTTTCACGCAAAACTGGAAGATTATTTGGCGACAAAGCTAAATTTCGCACTAGACTTATAGTCGATTTGATAATAGGCCACGAATAGATTGCCGGATTAAGTAATTCAACAATTGGTAATAGGCCATTGACATTTCGAACTGTATCTTGTGCTTCTGCCGCATGGGAATGTCGAGATGTAATATGTCTTAATGCGCAAATGGCTGGCTCTAAAATTTCTTCTTTATCATGACCTTGAATAATCGCGTTGATCAATCCGTGAACACCGTTCGATTGAACAACAGCCATTTTGTTATATTGGTTATTACATGTCAAATTGGAAAGGATGCCGACAGCACATGAAACAGTGATGAGATCATTTGTTTGTAATAGTTCAATGAGTAAACGAAGGAGTGAGTCGAGATTTTCCTAGAAGAGAAGGTTTTTTTTAGGGAAAAAAACTGCTTTGTTAGTCTACGAACTAGTTTAACAGCTTGATCGGAAAGATTTCGAAGAATTTGTAAACAATTTTGTTGTACGCGTAAACTTATCGGTTGATATAATTGTTTTTCAAGAATTTGAACTGCATTTTTCGATATCATGACAATTTTGATGGATGGGCTGACCGATAAAACTCGAAGAAGACGTGTTGTTGTCCATAGCAGTTTTTCATAATCTGTTAATTCCAAAATCCGTAACAGTTGTTGCGGACCATTGCTTGATTCGATAATGATCTAAATCGATAAACATGGAGATAATCATTTCTTCTCAAATCGAGTTCGTTTCAAAGCTTAAAATGCGTCACCAAGAACAAAAGACAAGAAGCCATTCTAGTTTCCTTCGTCAATACTGCGCAACTTACCAAACAAACAAGAAAAAGACTTTCTAAACACATGGACATCGAAATGAAGGCGACTTTCATGCTTATTTACCTTCACTTCTTCATTGTTGAATGCTAACATATGAAGACAATCAGTAAGGATTGCTAAAAACTTCGGATTGGTACTGTTTAACAATCCGACCATTTTCTGACAACCACCACAACGAAGAATTTCCAATTTAGCATTCTCTAAATGTAACAATAAATTGTGCAACGTCGAGAGTGAGTAATTAACCACGGATTCAATCGATGAACTAGAAAACGGCAAGAATGGATAAGACAAGAGAAGAGAAATGTTCTTACTCAAGAAGTCGAACAAGAATTGGAATAACGCCACCTTTGAAAAGCAGAACAAGGCCTTGCTTTTGTTGAGACAGACAATGAAACACCCCAGCAATTCCACGACGTGTTTCATCGTTAGCACGTGGATTAGAGATCGCTTGAATTAAGGCTTGAATCATTTGTGGAGTAGATAGAGCTATTCGGCTTGCTTCTTTCTTTGCTAACGTATGTAAAATCAATGCGGCTTGACCTGAAACAATCGGATCATCATCGCTCAATAAACGAATCAATTCCGGAAGAGCTTTTTCAGTTATATCAGCATCCTCTTTATAATTAATGATATCAATGACAGCATTTTTTAATAATTGTGATGGCTCGGCAAGTTTCTGAACGGCCGTCGGTTGACCATTAGCAAATTGAGGTGAAGCCATTGGCATGGATATTCCACCAGCTACACCATCTTCGAGAGTCTCAGGAAATATCGCTGCACGAATACGTTGAGCACGTGTTGAACTCAATTGGGCACTCATTGATTCGATATGTTCGTGGACTATATAATCGTCCATATGACCATTACGAGCATGAGAACGATGACCATGTCCATTCATTCCATTTGTCGCTGGATAAGTTTCGTACTCCATGAGAAGATCAGAAGAGATTTATCGAAATAAGACACAAACGGTTGAACTCTATCCAGCACCAGTTAAACTGTATTCTGATTCGCCATATTGTTTATTCGATAGTACATTGAACAAGTTAAACAAATAAACAGAACAGAGCGGACAAATAATTGCTACGAAAAAAATCTTTCTGAAAATATGTTATTCTTAGTATTTCATCAAAAAAAG